AAAAATAAAGATATTATTTAAATTCTAATCCACTTATTACTTATTCTACTTAAAATACTTAGTTATTAATCAAATCCTCTAATATTACTCACATTCACAATAATAATTCACTCCTTAACTTCATGTAAAAAAATTCTTTCTTTTACTTCTAATTAGATAATTTGGTTTAAATTTTTATTTTATTCTATTTTCTTGTTTTTATTATTATTATTATTATTATTATTAGGTTGATTTTATTATTTTTTATTATTTTATTATTTTATCATTTTTAAAAATATATATATTTTTACTTCTTAAATAACTGATGGTAAAAGTAATTAATTAAGTTATTACCCTTAATCCATAGTAACTTTAAATTTTTTAAAGGTTGGGTTAAAAATTAAAAGTTAAAATTAAAGTTTAAAAAGTTAAAAGTAAAGTAAAACATAAAAAGAAAGTAAAGATTAAAAAATAAAATAAATAAAAGTAAAAAGAAGAAGATTAAAAGTTAAAAATCAAAGCCAAATGTGAATGTAGAAGTTACAAGTTACTATAAAAATAAAATAAAATAAAAAATAAAGAGAGGTACAAGTGGAAGTACCTTAACAACGTCTAAGGATTGAGGGAAGCACCCCTCTTTTACTCCAAAATTTTCCAAAAATCCAAATTAGCTTCAAATCTAGTGATTTTTATTATATTGAAAACTTAACTTCAAGATTCTCTTGCTCTGAAATTTTCGTGGAAATCTAGTGCCTAAGTTGCGTGCAATGCTTCTTCAAACTTGGATCATTGGTCCTACTACTACAGCCAACCCCCCTTTACTCAAACATTTTTTAAAAATTCAAAATTGCTTCAAATTTAATGAAATTTATGCCAATGTAAGCTCAACTTAATGGCTTTTTTACTCTCAAAAATTAAAAATAATCACATTAGGTGGCATTGAGAAATGCCTTTTCAAAGTTGGATTATTGAAACTACCAAGGTGCCACCCCCTTTGCACTCAAAAATTCACCAAAACTTCGGTACGATTCCAAATTGAGAAAATCTTACCTCGTTGGAAAGCTAATAATAAGATATATGTGATAAAAAAATATTTAGTTATAAATCTTAAAAATTCAAAAAATTATTGAAATAAATTTGAGGCCCTTTAAACCCTTTTGACTATGGAAATGGTTGGTGACCACTAATTACAAAGAGGTGCCTTTTAAACCACAACAAGTACCACCCACAAGACAAAACCAATGCTCATATGTTCCTAGAGTTTACAATGAGATCTAAGATCAAGAAAGAAGGAAAAAAATAAGATTAGGATTAGGGTTGAGACCACATGTTGACATGGCTTCGTCTTCATCAAAAGAAAGAGAGAGAGAGGCTTGGAAAACCAAACCACTCTTATATAATTGAGTGGTGGCTTGTGGAAGGGCAGCCACATCTCCACCCTTGATCTTTAAGATTCCTTTTGTAGATCTATGGCCTTCCTTCATCCAAGAGCTAATTTCGTGACTAAGGCTGATGGCTCTTGTAAGTGGGAAAAAAAAACACTTTTTGATAAATCTAACATAATCATTGTCTTTAAAACACCTTTTTATGCTAAGATTGACTACTCACCTGCATCAATCTATGCTCCTTTGCAACTTTTATGAAGGTTTTTTTTTACTTACAAGGATTTAGGCAATATTTGTAAGATTCTTCAAAAAATGAGAATTCCATTTCTCTACTTGTACTTTGAAGGAAAGGGTGCTGATCTTATTTTTTTTTCACTCCAAATGGTACATTTGATGCCTCCATTGCATTTGAAAGGCTTCCATAAATTAGAAGAATCACTTTGCCGCTTGGATTTGTTGAATTTGGAAAAAAATCTTCAAACCTATCATAATTAAACCTCACTAGATTATTTGTTTTATTTTATTTTATTTTTTTGATACTAAGACTACTTCCTTTTTAATTCCTCTACTACTAGCTAATTAAAAAAATATAGTCTTTATATTTTTTTCTTACTAAATTCTATCCTAGATTGCAAGTCTACTATTACCAATCTATTTTCTATTTTTTCCTAAAATTCTAATATTAGCTCATAAAATTTGTATTTTAAGCACAATAAATATATTTTTTATAATAAATATCAATGTGATTCAATTCAATGGCTCACACATCTAATACTAAAAAATAATATTAAATACAAGGTTGATTCTTTTCTACCAAAAAATTAATCTACACTAATGCATACATGTATACTTTACAATTGCATACTATTGCAAAGCATATAAAGGCATGGTTTGTCATATTTGGGATTAGAAGCTCTAAAAATTAAAAAATAACTTATTTAAGTTTGATTTAATAATGGTATATCTAAATATATGTACACTATTATTTTATAATATAGCTATTATGTAAAAGATTAATATATATATATATATATATATATATATATATTATAGATGAGCTCAAAAAAAATATTGTAATAAATTATCTTTAAAATATAGATAATAAAAAATGTAATAAAAATTAATAAGTGTTAATAATGTCTTTTGTAGAAAAAACTTTTATTTACTTTGAAAAGCCATAAATGTAGCAAACCAAAGTGTATAAGAGAAATAATTAATATGAAAATCTTTAAAAAAAACTTTCAAAGTAATTTTTTGGTAAAAATTATCTTACAAAACTAAAAATTGATATCCAAACATGATTGCTTATGAACTTAGATCGAAATCAAACCCTGAGGCAAAAAACTAAATACCTATAGCAACTATAGGATTCTTTGATAAAACAAAGAATAAAGCTTGAAAGCACATTTATAAAAGATTTTTTAGACATTAATTTTGAGTGATTTGAGTTTGCATTGACTTTGTAAAGACTTTGTAAAGTTATGATAGTTTTAAAGTAACTTTGGATTTTTGGAAAATACAAAGAGTTTATATTTTGGAGAATTATGTGAGATTAGTAGAAAATCTACAAGTGATACTTTGTGTTTGTGTGACTGATGTTGTCTTGATTTTTTATTATAAGTTTGATCTTGATCTAATAATTTGTTTAAAGATTATTAAGATTCAAACATACTGATCTCTTAGAAATTAGAATATAGAAGACCAATTAAGGTTCCTAAAATATACAACAATCCACTAAATAGGTTGAATTATAATTTTGCATAATAATATTTAAATTAGTTTTAAACAACTTTAAAAAATTTGAAAGCAATTGAACAATGTGATTCAAAGATATTGGCATTGAGAGATTGACACTAAAGTTGGAGAAGAAGGCTAGCTAATACTTAAGCAAATTTTAGGATTTATCTTCTGTATAATAAGTTTAATTGTCTTCAAATTGATTATAATTGTTCTTAACTTACTAATTGAAAGGTATAAAATTTTTGAATTAGAAATGACAGTTAGATTATTAGTTATTAAGGTTTCAATTTGCTATAATATTTGTTAAGATTTTATTTAAAATTTAAGGTTTAATTAGGATTTCATTAAGATGTAAATTTGGATTAGGATTTAACTAAGATTTATTTTAAGGTTTTATTAGGATCAAATTTAGGATCTAGAATTTGATTAGGATTTGGTTTAAGATTTAAGGTTTAGTATTAGGTTAGAATTTGATTAAGTTTGATTTATAATTTTATTAACATTTTTTAAAGATTATATCATTATTTAATTAGGATTCATTTAAAATTTCTATTTTTAATATTTAAAAATATTGATATTTTTTAAGATTTTTATTTTATTATTTTTTTAAGGTTTTTTATTGTATATATTTCTTTGAGATTAATTTATAATTTCTTTATATTTTTTTGGTAATTTCTTTAAGAGTTTTTTTAGGTTTAATTAAAATTTACTTAACATTATTAAGGTATAATTGGAGTTTGTTTAAAATTCTATTAGAGTTGTTAGAATCTTTTTTTTTTGCAATTTTCATTTTATCTTCCATAGCCACATGTCTAGTGCATTCTCAAGCAAACTTTACAGAATACAACAATGTCACCTAAACAATTAAAGAAGAAACGAATGTGTACTAAAAATTGTGGACATACTAAAAATTCCATTTATTTAACTATTGTAATGATTGAAGAACTTGCAAAGAGCCCATTTGGAAAGAGTCTTATACTTTTGCTTATTTTTTATACTCATGTTTTTGAAATTTAAAATTTGTGGGCCTATTTTGATACATGAATCAACATTTGATATGCCTATTTTTTATATTCTTTTCAGAACAAGTCTTTTTCTTCAATATTAAGAGACTGAAGTTTACAAAATTTTCTTTTGGAAGATGTTAGCCTCATAAGCCATTTCCCCTTGGACCTTGAGTTGAAACCCATATTGGAAGATCCCACCTCAAATCCTTCTTTTGCAATTGCACTTCTGTAGCACACTCCACAATGTCATCACAAGGACTTTTTTGTAATTTAAAAATTTGTTAGACTTGTTTTTGATAAATCAACATTTCTCAAATTAAAATGAAATAAGATAAATACACAAAAATATATTTATTTGTATGTTTCTTTATTAATTTATTTTTCAAATATATATAAACACAAAAAAATCGTATTAATTTCTTTGAACTGATTTATCACGAGTTACACCTCAGAATGAATTCAAACCGCATACAATCTAATTGGATCATTTCACTGTGTTATTGTTTTCCACAAGCATATAAACTTGCTTAGTTAACTTTTTTTGTATACGCAAGTGCATCTAGAGACCTGTCCAGCTCACCACCATCACACGAACTTGCATCGTCTCCCAAGTTTTCTGGCGCCAGAATTCAATCTGATCATGCAGCTCACACAACAAAATGCCCACAACTTCGAAGGAATAACATAAGAAACTGAAAACTTGCACGACTAGTTTTCTCTTTGCTTTGCCTTGTTGTCCACTCCATTACGGCATTTCACCTCCGACTCCATTCCAATATGCAAACTGAAACCTTGTAGTATAATAATCAAACCCCATAATTGACCATCGTCTGAAAATTCACAAAGAATCGCTGCAATGTCACCAGATATAAGGCTGTTCTCGGTTGAGTTGATGTAAGAATCTGAGGAACAGAAACCAGAATGAAGCACTCTGGCCACATCCAAGAGTGGTAATCAATTATATGTTGTAATGTGACAAATCTGAATGAGTGATTTAGCTCTCAGATCAGACCTCAGACACACTGAAGGCAAGCTAAACTCACCACTGCAGACTCTCGCACCTCCATTGATCTACGGCAACATCCATCATCTAAATCTTATCAAACTGCTTGGTAGAAGTTACTGAACAAGTTTCTATGAAACTGGTTATTGCGGAGAAGGATACTGAACTCGTGGCAGACCTTTCGCCATCGACAACTTCATTTCCTATCTGGTAGCCGTCGGTAGTGTTTACTGCAGATTTGCGAACCTACATGAGAGTTAATGCTTTGAAGAGGCGGTGGCCATGAGCTGAAATCTACTCTCTAGGACCCGTGTAAACCACCATTTGCAGGGTGGACCCATTGTGCACACCCATGTCTGCCAGCTTCGTCAACTGATCGCCGTCTGCGGCTTGCAACAACTTGTTGCGAGAGAGGCAGACGAGGAATTGGTGCTCAGCTGGAGTGCCTTCCACGTCTTCGATCTTCTCCTTCAAGTCTCGCATGGTGCTCGATTCCAGCAACTCTACCGTGAATGTCTTGCTGGTGGTCACTAGTATCTGCATGGTTCTGGGCAGTTCTTTTGGGGCTGGCACTTGGCCCCGGATACGAGGGTTCGGGACTGGACGAAATCCGTTGTTGCGGGCATGTCTTCTTAGCCGGCGAATAGCCATGTGGAGTTTAGTATTCGGTGGAGAAGCGGTTCACCGAGTATCAAATCCTAGATATGCGCCAACATGTCAAACCAGCGTCAGACCTCCACATTTTGTGTCTACTTGAGATTTAAACCTGAATACTTTCTCTTTACTGTAATAACGATTGCAACTACCTCGTTTAATTTAAATCAACACCTAGCAAGGATATCTTGAATAAGATTCTTTGAAGTGGTTCATACATCGAATAAAATTACGTTGGTAAAACAGACGCTGAGAGGTTCAGTGATGTGGACAACAGGTTACTTGCAATGAAAATTGCATAAAGATTTCGTAGCTTAATTCTGTAGCAGTGCTGGCAACTTTATGAATAGAAGAAGAGATGATAGTGCATATCTAGAAGTCACTTTCTCTTGGCCACGTTTGTAAACCACCAACGTATTGCACTTCACCAATTTGTAAGGAGCCAACAAAGCAGCTCCAGAAATCCACCGGAGGCTGTGCAAGAGCTAGTGCTGTCACCCGACGTGCTGTGTAATGGGTTTGGTATGTCTCAATCGGAATACACACAAGAGGCAGACACGTTACTCGCCTATGACTGCTGAAAAGAGTAGCCGTTTTCTATTCGTAAGTGGTTCTCTTCGTAAGATCAGACTTCAACACTCTGATGTGTGGTCAACTAATTAAGAGAATCCAGGTTTTGCAACAATGGAAAATGGTGACCTGCCAAATCTTATGATTATATGCAAGTCTCTTGGATGATGAAAATATTTTGCAGCTTTCAGTTGTTGAACGAGAGGTTAGCAGAAACTTGTGCCTACAGGACATGAAGAGCTCTGAGCTTCACAATGCACCGTGTAGCTAGACTTCTTGTCAGCGCTACGCAAGGACTATTGACTAACCCAGATTTTCAAATTTGAGAAGGAAGCTACCAAACAGAACAATGCACGTAGAACTCCAAGCCTAATTGTCAACACAGAGTTTAAAATTGAGCAACTTCAAACGAGCTTACGCACAACCCACATATCCTTAACCACACCAATTTGCTAAAACCAAGGATCCGGGTGAATCAACGCACAAACCAAGAGTGCCTTAAGAAGCAGATCGGAACAAAAAAAGGGCAAAATCCATAATTCAGCACTGATGTCGAGCACACAAGCAATTCGCTGAGATGCAAACCTCCCGAACGACATCCACAACTAGCTGAACAAGTGATAAACCTCTAGGGATGAAAGAAGACAATTGCTTAAGCGAGAACTAGAGAAGGTGGGCGAATGTTAAGTATATTGAAGATTAGGCAAATATAGTGACAAAAGGTTGGCAAGCATCCCTACCTGACATGCTTGGCTCGCTCCTTTGGGTAGTGTCCAAGCAGCGACGCAAAGTCCAAGTTCTGTGGGTGAAAGTTAAGAGGCAGAGCAGGTGCAGCGCAAGGATAGAGGCATCTGGATCTATGGCAGTGGGTCGAAGTCCTCAATTTGAATGCTTCTAGGAGAGCAGTGCTCATCGTCAGAATGATAGATCAAAGCCAGCACGATGTCGCCCTGATGGCGACGCCTAACGATGGTCGCCGAGAGGGCTTTCAGGAAGATCCTCCGCTCGCCGCTCCTGTCCACAACAGGGGCCCTCTCTGTCTGACACCTCTTCCCATAACCTGATGGCTGCCCTCACGTAGAGCCCCTGATGGTTTTGTCACTATTGTGGCCATCCTTGGATGATGATTGCGCTGACATCTAGTTATTCCCTGTGAGTTGTATCAATCCACTACAACGTCTCCGGTAGCAAAACTAGGAGCTTCGAGGTAACTCACCTGGTCCTTAGTATGTACCGAATTACAAACACCATTGGCTGTCATCCCAACTCTCTGATTAGTGTACATTTATTCCTCTCGTTCAGTGTTCTGCTGATTATCAAGCAAGCTGATATGGCAAAGAAAGAGTATCATTTTAAGTACCGTAACGGATGCGATTCTCTGGACCGGAACAGTTGATTCTCAGTGATGACTTTTAATGTGACAATCTACGGTGATCTCACTGGATTCATTAAAAACATGTGAGTGAGTGTGCCAATGTCCGTCCTTTGGTGATGGAATTGCAAGTTAAATTTGATGTTATGGAACATTTGAGTACTACTTCATTGCACTTGGTAACAATTTTTACTCATTGTGTGGTACAGGAATGTGCTTTGGTTGTGATGATAGTCTATACTTTAATGACAGGACAATCAAACTAAAATTTATTTTATATTTCTTGTATTATATGGTTAATAATTAACCTCTTCACTTCTTCTTTTGCATGTTTTCATGATCGGTTCATACTTCAATTTTTGAAAGATTATTTACTAGAAATGAATAGTTCATGACATGGTTAAAAAAAATTGGTTTTCATTTTTAATAGTATATCGGGATAAAACATCGGTCAGATGTTTACGTTGTGACGGTTTGAGAATCCACACAAGGTTGAAATTCAATTTGGGAAACTACTTCAAAATATGAAAGTACTCAAAAATGTTGTTGCAAACATTGGTCATCTATTTCTCAAACTGTGGATCATAAATTGTATATTGGTTTAATTTTTTTCTAATTTTTTTAAACAGAAATTCCTCTCCTTTGTTACAAACATTTGAAAGCAAAAGTAGACGTATTTATGTTAGTTATTCGTACATAGAACGCTTTTAAATACTGAAAACTGTATCTCAGGTTACTTCATCCAAAGATATTTCTTCAATGAAAAAAACTCAATTTGTCAAAGTAAGAGTGCAACTACAAACACGTATTGTTCCATAAAATTGTAATAACGTTCACTTCTATGAACTCCATGACATTTTCGGGCCGAAACCGAACGCACTCCAGCACTTCATGACTTCGACCAATCTCCCATTATCCAAATGTTTCTTAAACGAGCTTAAGCAGAAGGTGGAACAGAAGGTAAACATAATTAGGCAGAAATACACCTTGTTTCACTGCAAGTGCAAGATGTTGCCTCTCAGGCTCAAGTTAAAGATCAGTTTAGATTATTTCCTCTGTGCAAGCTGCAAGTTCAGGCCACAACTTCATCTGGATCACCAAAGGTTAAAATTCAACCAGTTTTCGGTGGATCACAGCGGTCGCATGGTGCGAACTGTGAAGCTCAGGAAAAGCGGTTTCGCTACCACTCTTCGCAAACAACCAGAGAAATCAACCAGTTTGTGTGGTCTGTTGGTGGCCCAAGGAGTTCTTTGATTTAACTCGATTAACCCATGTAGAATCTTTCGAACTGCGAAGCTCAGAAAAAGGCCTCACAAGTTGCAAAGGAACCTCTGGAATCTAGACACATGTTGGCGTAGATCTGCCCACCTTTGCGCGGAAACCTTTGGTTTCAAGCTGAGGGCCGTCGATCGTTTGCTTGCTGCGTATGCTCCAAGAGCGGTTTAGCTCACTTCAAAGAGCTTGCAAAGGCTGAGATTGAAACTAACAACAGTGTTGAAGTCTCAAAAGCTCATAGCTGGCATGAAAATGAGAACTAGGATTGTATGCTTTCTTAACCTTGGTGTTTTTCCTTTACGTCATTTTTACAAATCTGGTTTGTTATTTTACATTGTTTCTTGAGTTGTAAGCATCGGCTCATGGAGGAAAGAAAAAAAAGTTATGTCAATTACTTTCAGATATCTTAGGTTGTCTTGCAGCTTAGTTCAATTTTTTACTAGTATACTACAATTTCTTAGATTTTGTGTCATTTATTTTTCTAAAATTAACCATGATCTCTTGTCCAAACAAACCCAATCATATCAATAAGCCTTGTTTGTTGCAATGTGCCATGCACATCAATTGTAGCCAAATTCTTGTTGTTATTAAACAAAATTTTGTATTGGTTTAGTAAATGCATAACCAAGCATATCACTAATGACCATTTACAATACATTCTATGCAAATACTGTGATTGGGTCTAAATACGTCAAATAATTGCTTAACTTTGTTCATTAGTCCTACAACTTTGACTATAATTCAATATGGATTTTTATACACATATTAGAATAAATACTTAACATTAGTCATGATGTTGATGTGCATATTAAATTTCTTGTAAAAATACACAATATAAAGAACAACCTAGTAATTATTATAAACAAAGTTATTTGAATTGTACTAAAAAATGCATATGTTATCAAGTTGTCATTATTCAACATATCAATCTTTACCTTGTATTATTTGATCACAAAATGTCTTAAAATATCTCTTAGTTCAAATGTCATTTTACATGAAAAAAATAATTGGATTTTCAATTCCACACGATCTATGTAAGAAACAATTGGTCATTGTATTGTAAAGCTCAACATTATCTTTTGACAATAGTATGGCTAAGACTAATCAATCTATTGCTACCATAATAGTAATCTTTTGATTTTGAGCAAAGATTTTAATAAATAAATAAATAAATAAATAAATAAATAAGTGGTAATCCTTACTTTGATATTCTCTTCTAAAAAAATCCAAATACATCAACAAATCATGCATTTCTTACTAATACTTCAAGAAATAAATATGCCTTTGTATTAAAGATACTTGTAACATATTAGATCCATTAGTTGCAATTTGGCATTCAAACAACTTACTTGTAATCTTAGCCCATTTAGAATTAAATGTAAAAGTAATAAAAATATTAGAAATTTTCTTTGAAAAAATAATTATCATTAAATCTTAATTTACATATTGCAAGAAGGACAATATAATGCCTAACTTGTATTATATTCAAATCAACATCTATTGCAATAATATTTGTTAATCAGCTATATAATTCAACTTTTAATATCTCTTAGTTCAAAATCACAAAATTTAAATTATTTTGTTTAATTATTGTCACTACATTGATAATGTACTATTGAAATAGATGTCTATCTTAATAAATAGTTATTTGTGTTTTCCAAATATGCAATCTACATACATAAAAGACTTATATTGACACTTATTGGTTTCCAACAATTTATCAAATGGTAACACTTGTTAGTTTCCAAAAATTTATTAGATAGTGGTACTTATTGGTTTCTAAAAATTTATTAGATAATGACACTTGTTGGTTTCCAACAATTTATCAAGTAATAATATTTGTTAATTTTCAAAAAATTATTAGATAGTGGCACTTATTGGTTTCCAAAAATTTATTAGATAATGACACCTATTGGTTTCCAACAATTCATACATCATGGCCATCAAAGAAGAGCAAAGGATATTAAAATAAATTATATTCAAGAGCGATAATATGCACAAATTAAATATCTTATCTATTTCTTTGTTTTTTAATCAAATTATGGTTGCTTGCTTTTTTCATCTCTTTAGAAAAAACCTTTTTAATTTTTTTTGTTGTTAATATGTTATATTTGTATAAGTCTCAACATTCATAGTTTAAGAAATTTATTCTTATGAAAAAATTTAATTCTTTGTTTTGATTAATAGATAAATAATCAACAAGATGTTTAAGAATATTTACATATAGATTTATTTTGTTAAGTACTCTTCAAATTGTTGCCAAATTAATCAAGTCATGATTTGGATTTTGACCACATCTATTTTAAAACTTATTTTCTAAAATTTTATATATAAGAATGCAAAAACTAAGCATATGCATTAAGCCACGGTTATAAGTCTCTTATCATATGATAATAGGAGTCATTTGTATAATAGATATAGATTCCAAGACCTAATTAAAATCCAATGTTTTATAAACATGTGGAAGCAAATGAAAATACAAAGTTGTATGACCAAATTTTTTTCTTACTTCATAGTTGTTTTGATTTTCTAGCAAAACAAAGTAATCTACAAGGATATGTGCTTCTAAAAAAACCTTTCTTTATAAACATCATTTGACATTTTATAGATTTCAAATAAAAATATCAAAAAAATTATTTATTTGTTATTTTTTTATTTTTTTAAAAAAATCTTTGCAAAAATCACATGTTCTATTCAATATTTTAAATATATTTTATTCTATATCAAGATTACTTAAGAGGTTATGCAAGTCTCTCAAGGCAAGTATGCAAGCAGCTTCTATATTGTCATGTAGTAACATGGCCATTAGATGAAAAAAGAAGAAAAATGGTTTACTATAGAAGAGCCTAATTAAAATTATATAGTAAAAAATATAGATAAATGACAAGCAGGTTGTAAAATCTATTAGTGTTAGAGCTACTTTTTATGAAAATAAGTTTTATTTATTTTATAGAGCCATAAATAGGGTAAAACAAGATAGATTAGAAAAATAAAGGAGATATTCATATGTAGAAGGGAGTTAAGAGTTGATATTAATAAAAATTACCTCAAGAAGACAAGGATTGATATCCAAAGAGGAGTGGTTGTTAACTAGGATCGAAATCAGATTCCAAGGTACAAAACCTAGCACCTATGGCAACTTCAAGGTTTTTTTGTCAATCAAAGAGTAGAATTTGAAAGAAGACTAGAAAATAAAATTTTTAAGAGTTGATTTCATGTTATTTAGATTAATATTGAGGTTTTGAGGAATTTTCAAATTTAATAATGTATTTAGTGGATTTAAATTTTTGAGAAATAAAATAAATTTACAAATTTTAGGATTTTATGAACTTTGAAATGTATTTGTAAGTGAAATTTTAAAATTTTGTTGTTGTGAATGTTGTGAATGTGTGTAAGAAATTTGAAGTCAATTGCTTAATTAGATTGAAGCATATGAGGGTTTTTGTGGGTTATGGTCTCAAAAATTTGAGATTTAGGATCAGTTAGTGATTCCAAGATCTAGTAATATTTGTTACTTGGATTAAAGCAAAATTCAATGAGAGCATTTAAGACTTAAATATTTACACATAATCCAATTTTTAGAATAATTGAAGAGTT